AATAGCCTCCTGAAGTTGATATATATACACATACACGCAGATAGGAGCAACCAAGATTATTAGACTACGCACACAAAAAAAAAAAGTCGAGCTGTTTGGGATCATTGGAAGAAACAAACTAGGAAGTTGCTGAAATTAAAAGAAAAAAGACAGATTTTTGGCATTAAACGGGAAATTGGGCAGCCTCTGGAGATAAATATAAGCTGGTGACGGTCACGCATATCCGTAGAACGGTAGAAGAGAGGACATACACAAGAGTGGGCTGCAGTTTTGGAAATTGGAATTAATTCCCAATCTTCGTTCGATAATTTATCAACAATTGAGCAAGAATTAGTCACGTTCCGTCAATTTTTTGTGATGTCTTTTAACTTTTGCATGTTTAATTTTGACAATATGCTTGGCTAATTTTTTATATTGTTAGGATGTGATGAACTCTCGTTATAAATTTTTGGGTTGAATAATTAAATTGACATTAAATTTGTTTGAATTCATGGATGTTTATTATGGTTTAACTTGCTTTTCAATTACTTGGCCATTAATTGAATTGTTTGTGAATTTTATTATCATCGAGAGAGGTAATAAGATTGTTAGTACATATTAATAAATATTGTGAGGTTCGATAAAAGATAGAAATATACATTTATGCTTCACATAATTGTTAAAGATGTTCTAGCTCGTTAATGTATTTACCATGTTCGCATCTTCCATCGAGAGATAGGAAGGTCACATGAGAGGAATATATTTAATAACTATCGAGAGAGATTTTTAATTAAAATAGGAACATTGACCAACAAGAATGATTCAAATTGTCAATTTAAATTTTGAACTAAAAATTGAGTAGCAAAGGGGATTCCACATCTTAAAAATACTTTTCGCGAATTTGATAAATTTTTACTTAGCTTTCAATTTAGTTGCTAGATTTAATATTGTGTAGTCACGACTTGATTTTGCTATTTGATTAAGGGTATTGTTAATTTTAACCGGATCAAACATATAGTTCTCGTGGGTTTGACACTCTATACACTATTATATTATTTGTTTATGATCCCATCCACTTGTGGAAAATCAATCGACCATGGTAACAGAGTACGTGTTGCAGGTTCTTCGTGATTTGGTTGAAATTTTTCAAGTATGAATTTGTTGAAGTATGAAATTCCTCTGGTGGATTGCAATACAAGATTTTCGATGTGGCAAGTAAAGATGAGGGCTGTGTTGACGTAGATGGATCTTCACGATGCTTTGCTGGGTTTTGAAAGGATACCAACAAATTTGTCTGTGGAGGAGAAACAACAAAGGGATTGCAAGGCTCTAGCACAGATTCATCTTCACTTATCCAACAATATTCTGCAGGATGTCTTGAAGGAGAAAACGGCTGTTGCTTTGTGGTTGAAGTTGGAGCAGTTGTGTATGACTAAGAGTCTTACAAGTAAATTGGTTCCCAAGCAGAAAGTTGTATTCACATCACATGGTGGAAGGAGAGTCGTTGGAAGAACATGTTGCCTTGTTCAAAGAAATAGTTGCAGATCTGGAGATGTTAGAGGTTAAGTACGATGAAGAGGATCTTACCTTGATCCTGTTGTGTTCGCTGTCTGGATCTTATGCGTCGTTTCGGGATACTATCTTGTATAGTCGAGGTATTTTGACTATAGAAGATGTCTATGATGCTTTGCACTGAAATGAGAAAATAAAGCATTTGGTTGGAGCTACATTAAGGGATGGGGAAGCTCTTGTATCTCAAGGTGGTCGACGAAGAGGTAGATCGAGAGTTAGATTTAGTAATGTGAATTGTTACTACTGCAAAAGGAAGGGACATATTCAGAAGGATTGCGTCATGTTGTAGGCTAAACGTGATTTAGCTGCAAATCGTGGGGTGCAATCTTTGAATTAAGATGAAACCAAAGTAGTTGAGAATTGTTCAGGTAGCAAAGATATGATGTTGACCGTGGTATCTGATGTAGAGTCTAGGCCTGACGAGGAGTGGATTCTTGATTCAGCATGTTCGCACCATATGTGTTCCGATAGAAATTTATTTTAGACATATGAGGCTGTTCAGTAAGGTAGAGTTGTAATGGGAAACAAACAATCTTACCGTATTGTTAGGATCGGTCAAGTTAGATTGAGGCTATGGGATGGAACATTTAGAACAATTGATCAGGTTCGACATTTTCCTGACCTGAAAAGGAATCTCATTTCCCTAAGTACCCTGGATGCAAAAGGGTATAAATTCTTTGGAGGAGGTGGAGTCTTGAAGGTCCGAAAGGGAGTCCGAGTTGTACTGAAGGGACGGAAAAGATCCCAGTTGTACATTTTGCAGGGAAGTGCAGAACTAGTTAACAGGAAACATTTGGATAAGTTTAATACCATGGTGAAAATTCAGTTTGGTACAGTACCTCCTATGTTGGGCTCTGAGTCGATTCAGAACACTGCTAGGGAGAGTGTTGGTGATTCCGTTTTCCACTAATTTTAGTGGGTGCATTGTGTTCAGTTGTTGGGGTAGAACTCATCAAGCGTAGGCATCAGGATGTCATCAATGTCTGGGGTGCTTTTGGGGATGTTGAAAGCGATAGTTCTAGCAAGGGACCTTTTGATCCAGCATGTGGTATGGTTTCTGCTATAGGGTATGCTTCAACCCTATTTGATCAATAGTAATTCCTCGGTTGAATTTTGGGAACCCAGGGATTGGGTTCCCGTGTCGTTTGTGGACGCCATGCAGAGGACGATGGTTTGGTGATGGATATTTTGGTTATTGTGTTGAGGAGATTGGTTAGTTCATTTCGAAACAAACGGATTTGAAATTTTGGAGTTTCGTTTGTTGCACCGAAATTTTGAGTTAGGGTGGAAATTGTTAGGTTTAATACCTCAAAATTGGGTTGAAATTTTGGAAGATCACGTTTGACTTGAATTTGGAAAGAAATCAAATTACATTCCTTTTACGTGATTTGACCTAATTCTAGTATATTTTCTTACCTTTTAGGATCCCATTAGGTTTATGGATGTGACCTATAAATTAGAGACTCTTTTGTCAATTTTAGATGAAGCAGTATTGTTATCCTGTATTATTCTCTTCATATTGTTAATTTAATAAATTTCATCATTCCTCAACTTAATTTCTCTTTTTCTACTTTACTTTAATCTTATTTTCGTGGTATAATCTTGAATATTTCATTATTGCTATTAAATCTCAATCTTGCATCGCCTTTGGGATCAACAATAGGTGGTATAATCATGTTCTATATTTTGTTGTGCTGCTATTTATGTTGGAAGCCTTGAAATATTTGAGGTACGAAATGGATTTATTTACTACCTCATATTCAATTGATTGAAGGACTGATTTGAGAAGTACGATTTACACTTGAATAACTAAAATTCTTTTTGTTAAAATCATTTTATAGCTTGTTTGTCTCCGACTTTGGGAGAATATAGAGTTTTGAATAGTAATTTTTGAAGAATGTGTAGGTGAAATTTAAAAAAAAAAATATTGTTTTGTTTGTAGAATATTTTATTGTATGAATGTGTGGTGGAAAATGTTATTGTAGCAAACAATTTTATTTTTTATTTTTGTTAAAGGATGACAAGCAGAAGCATATTATGTTGTGTATTTAAACGTGATTGTGCTGATGAGTTTCAACATCTGCAAAATACCGTTCATGATACCTTTCCCTTGGGATATGCATTTCAGACTCAATTGATGAACCTTAAAATTCCTCCAACTGTTGCTCTTTGTATTGGTAATACCTTTTTTATTTTTGAATTTGAAATATTCAATCTCCACTACTCTCACGGGATGAACCAATACAAGACTTCTGAAGTTTTAACCCCGTAATCTTAAGTTTATATAAAAGAAGGCCCAGTATATATTTGAAACAAGGACAAAAAATTAAGTTATTTAAAATTGTCCAAATAAAAAATGTTAACAAAATTGTTGTGTACCTCGCACCTTTCAACGGTCGAGTTTTAGCTTTGGACACTCAAATAAGAATGTAAAAGTATATTTTGGGCAACATTTTGAGTGGCATGTCCTGAGCATAAAAAATGCCGTTATCACTTACTACTCAAAAAAGTTTAACACCGTTTTTTCTTTTTTTTGTGAGGCTGAATATTTTTCTTACAGTTTCGTAAATTTGCCATGCAACTTGACTAAGAAATTTATTGAAAGAGGAGCCAATAAGTGAAGTCAGATCTCAATACAAAGGTTGTCTCTTGTAATCCCTGCTCCTCTTCAACATCCCTAATAATCCGATGGCCTGATTTTAAACGTAAAATAGCACAAGTTTCTAGTAAATATTTATGGGCTGAGCCTTTCAATTTGCATGGCACCTATCATTTAGCTTTGACTCTTGGAATGTATAGTACATTACCTCTCAAAGTGCATATGTCATTTCTTGCAAAAACTATTTTGAGTTAATTTAAGAATGGTAACGGGGCGAATTGGGGTCGATGCAACCTCCTCTGTCTTGCAAGGTATTTATTAGCACCCGTACAGCCCCTGTTACTCGTTTAAGGATGGGCGGGGCCCTTGCCCCATTTAGTACCGTTAATTTTTTTTAATAATTCATTTTATTGCCTCCATTTTTTAAATTTATTAAAATTTTTAATTAATTTATTTATTTGTAAAAGTTGAATTATTCAAATATATTTGGTAAACTAAGACTTTTATTGTTTGTCATATGTTTTTAATAATCTAAGTTGTCATCTTCTATTAGAACTAATGAAATTTTGTGGAATTTTCTATTTAAAGTATTGAAATCTTAGAAAAAAAGAAAGGAAAAGAAAAAATGTTAAATGGGGTAGGGCCCTTGTTACCAGTACCAGCCTCCCTAGCCCCGTCCCCGACCCGAATATCTGATTAAGCGGGTAATCGAGGCAAGGCCCACAGGTATCGAGTTTGACAGTTTTTTTTTTTTTTTTTGTCATCCCTACTTTAATCAATTAAAGCAATAAACAAAAGTAAATGTAATTAATTAAGCCTAAAACAAGATAATTGCAGTTGTAAATTTCTTCTACAAACAGCTTGTTGGCTGGATTACACCAGAAGTCGTCCCGGCAGCATTTGCGCATGACGCTTTGGCTGCTTGATTTTTGTAAGTTAAGTTTACGTCTTCCAATCTAATTCCCCGACATGGATTTGCCTTGCTACAATCGAACTTCACAGCAACTTCAGTTGCCGATGTCCCATGGATGTCCTTGTACGTAACATCACTTATTTTCACGCCCGAAATCTGTCGCAATTCAAAAATAAATTATTATATATACTTAATAATTAATATTGATGTAATTAGAAATTATGAATCATACCTGGCCTGGACAGTTTTTGTTGTTTGGACAATAATTTTGGTCTATCACAATGGGATTTTGCACATTTGTCATAATGGCATGCTGGAAGAGAACATCTCGTACAAATCCAGTGCTTTGTCTGGCCCATGTTTTTATTCTTAGACCATTTTGGGTATTCTTAAATGTAACCGCTTTAACTGTCACTTTCTCAACACCAACTTCTTTAAAATCCTTGCCCAGACTTCCAATGCTGAAATATACAGAAATGCGGTTCGTTTTCGTCGGGATTGATTTGAACTATTATAAAGTAATTAAAATTGATGTTAATTTAATTATATACCAACCTGATGCCATGGCCAGGACCACAAGTAACGTTTTCAATCCACAAGTTTGAGGTTCCTGGACCAATTGAGATGCAGTCATCTCCGGTACTGATCTTAGAGTTCAAGATTGTGACTCCGGTCGACAATTGGACGTGAATGCCATCTGTGTTAGGGCTATTGCCTGGAGCCAAAACTTTTACTCCTTGAAGCTCTACGTTGTCACATCCGTTGATTACTATATGGAACATTTGACTATTTAGCAACGTTAATCCATTGACTGCGACATCTTTTGAGTTTGAAACCCCCAATGTCTGAATGTATACAGATTAAACAAAGAGAATTAAACCTATGATTAATTAGTAGTAGAAAAAAAAAATTAAAATAGAATGAGAAATTATGTCAATAGGACAAGGTAGAAAGCAAATATAACATTAGTAGCTTTGAATATAAATAAACGAAAAAGACACGAAAAATAAAGTTTTGAATAATGAATTTTTAGAGAAAGTGTTGTTAAAAAGGTTAGAAAAGTTTTGAGTTTACATACAAAATTTTTTATTATTGTGTGGATGTATGATTAAAAATAAGTATATAGAATAAAAAGTTTTGAAAAAAATGATTGTCAAACATGGACTAAGAGTAAAACTCATTTTGGGTTGTAACCTACCTATCAAAAAGCATTAAGTTGAAGAAATTAATATTGAACTAACTGTGACCCACCACTTGTTCACTAACGAGGCAGTTATCCCATTTACGATAAAACCGTCTAGCATGAGATATGACTATCAAGTTTCCCAACTTTTTTGTTTTTGTTATTTGAAAAACAAACTGAAGAAAGGAATACAATCGACTAAAGCCAGAGAGAGGATATACTGTTGCGCCACTATGGCAACTCTTGCCGGTACTCTTGCAAGCCCACAAGCCAGTGCCTTGTCCATCAAGAATGCCACCTTCAATTGAAACCCCATCTGCACCTTCAAATAAAAGCCAGTTACCTGCATTTCCGATCACATCATAGTCCGAAGGTGCCACGAGTGTACCGTCGATTTTAATAATTATAGCTTTGTTCTCGCATAGTCCTTTGAAGTGTGCATTCTTAACCAAGTACCTTCCCGGAGGCGCATAGACTGTGGCTGGACCAGGCGAGCCACAAGCTGCGGACCATGCTTTCAAGAAAGCCGTAGTCGAATCAGTTTTGCCATCACCCTTTGCTCCTAAATCTAAAACATTGTATGTAACTCGATTAATGGCTAAGGATCGATTGAACAAGGAGAACATAAGTGATACTATAAGAATTATAGTAATCGGATTTGCCATTGGCATTGTAATTTGAGAATTTGGAGTTAAATTGGATTTAATGAGGAGTTGATGCGGTTAGTGAGGAATTTATAGAGGAGATTGAATGCAAGGAGATGAGAGGCTTAACAAACAGAAAAAGAAAAAAGAATATCAGCCAATAGAATCAGGAGCAAGCAATCCCGCCGAAATTAGGATGGGAAGTTTGAACTTGCAACAGACAACTATCTTACTTTTCACTCCGCGGCAGACCCAGACTTTAGTGTTGTGGGATCAAAATTTTAAATATAATTTTTTTAAAAATAACATAAGATTAATAAAAATAAGTTAATATGTATTTTGATAGTTTGAAAATGTCATATACTTACATCATTATCAATATTATTAAATAAATTTTACTACTTGTATAGTTTTGTATTAAGCTAACAGTGAGTAAATTAAATTGAATATAGAAGGTAAATGAATTGAAATAAAATTCAAGTTTAATTTAGGAAGTAAATGAAATTCAAATGTAAAGCAAATGTAATTTTAAAGTAATTCGAGTTACATTTAATCCGTAACGACCCTAAAAATTTTTGTGTCTATTTCATTTAAGACTTTCGAATGAAAGGATATAAATTATATTGAAAAATTTATCGTGCAAAAACAATAAACGCTAATGAAATAATTAATTTTTTTAAAAGAAAAGACGAGTTAGACGTCTTTTTTAGAGACATACGTTTGATGCATATTTAACTATTTTCGATATCTGTTTTGACCATTCGATATGACAACGTTATAGTTTTTGAAATGAGATATTACATGACATAAATGATTTGTAGATTTGGATAGCACATGATTGCAGACGAATTTTTAAAGTTAGGATATTATCGAAATTCTAAAAATACTAATTTCAAACGGCTTACTTTGACACGTTGTGACTTTTTCTACAGTTGACCACTTTGCACGACATTAATAAGTGAAAAATTAGGTCATGAGCATTTCGAAATAGTATTAAAAATGCAATATTTTGATTTCATTTGACATCTCGTACTGAGTGCATCAACGTAGATTATAAAATGATAAAAAAAAGGTCAAAATTTTGTGGGGTCATTTGAACCCACATGACCCCCCATGTGGGTCCGTCCCTGCTTTTCAGTAGTATTAACAATAGTTCAAGTAAATGATAGGAATTTAAATTTAGAATTTAGATTTTGATCTGAGTCAAAATCAATAATTAATTTTAATTATATATTTTATGAGATTCATAATTTTCAATTATATATTTCATTGACTTTTATTAAAATCTACTAAATATCTGATTTTAATTCCCACAAAACACAAGCTTAATATAACAAGAAGTGTCCCAACCATGGTCGTTGGGTTCGGTCCTTTAGCCCCAACATCAGGGGCGGATGTAGCTTATGGCCAGTTAGGGCAGCCGCCCTAGCTAGCTTCACGGGAACCGCCACGTCGACCGTCGGAAAATCATTTTTTTCCTTCAAAATTTCATACGTTCAGTGGCTTGGGTGTTGCCTGTTGGGCTGTTGGCTGTTGGGCTTCATTTTTTTTTTTTAAATCCGGCCTAATTAAAGATGCCCAAATGACCTGCAGCTTGCTCCACTCCAATATACCCAGATTTTTACAATTACAATTACAATTTACAATCCGAAGCAGAGCCAGAGGCGCAGACGCAGTGACCAGATTGAAGATTCCCAAATTTTTCCCTGAATTGCCAACACCCACCATTACCATTTACTAATCTAGGGCTCTCCCCGTCTTAGCCGTCAACCGGTCCACCCAGGGGCGGATGTAGCTTATGGCCGCCCTAGCTGGCTTCACCGGAACCGCCATGCCGACCGTCGGAAAATTAGTTTTTTTTTCCCTTCAGAATTCCAGACGTTCAGTGGCTTGGGTATTGCCTGTTGGGCTGTTGGCTGTTGGGCTTCATTTTTTTTTAAATTCGGCCCAATTAAAGATGCCCAAATGACCTGTAGCCTGCTCCACTCCAATATACCCAGATTTTTACAATTACAATTTACAACCTGAAGCAGAGCCAGAGGCGCAGACGCAGTGACCAAATTGAAGATTCCCAGATTTTTCCCCAAATTGCCACCACCCACCATTACCATTTACCAATCTAGGGCTCTCCCCGTCTTAGCCGTCATCCAGTCCACCACTACCGCAGGCCACAGCAACCGACAGACGTTGCAGCGCCACTCGACAGAGCGCCACTGAGTCCAGACCGTCCAGTGAAGCAGGCAGCTTGCATAGCGGCACAGGTCGCACTCTTCTTCAAAAAATGCAAGATTCTTTTAGACTTTTAGTTATTTGATGAATTGATGTTCAGTGATTCTAATTCGTGATATTGTCATATTGATCTAATTTTCCAAAAATCTTGGATTTCATTTTGGCTGCAAGTCTGCAACTCTAGGCTCCAGCACTAAAATTTTTCACATTTTTATATATTTTGCAATGCTTGTGGAAATTTATTAAAGTGATTATGTGAACTTCAAAGTGAATCTGTGAATGAGTTGAATTTGCAATACATTTTAATATATTTTGCAATACTGATTATGTGAATTTCGAAGTGAATCTGTGAATGAGTTGAGAATGCTATTGTACTGCACTCTGCACTACTGCATGCATCGGCATCCATTGGTCAATTTGGACCAGATTTTAATTTATTTTCTTCTTTAATGCTATTGTATTGGATCCTATTGTATTGTCTATGGAGCAAATGAAAATGAAAATTGTTGAATTGTTGATCATCAGTGGAGGGGATTTTTTTGTTGAATTGTTGATTTTTTAATCAATTGTAATTGAAAATTAAATTGGGGCATTTTGCAGATTATGGAACGATTTTTTCAACCGAAACAAAAGTCTATACCTAGTTCTCCTAGTTCTAGTTGTGCTTCTAGTCCCGCCATTGCTTCTAGCCGAGCACTCGAGTTGTTAAATATCACAAAGAAGTCTCGGGCTCAATTCAATGTAGATAATCTTATATCTGATCCAAGAAAACGTCCCCCTATCGAGTCATATGATCCTAATATCAGAGATGATGTTAGGATGGCATATTTGCAAAATGGTCCTTGTCAACCACATGGACATGACTTTCCAAAAAGACAGATAGGAAATGATAATAGGTGTTTTCGAAGAGAATGGTTATCTGAATTTTATTGGTTGGAGTATAGTATAGAAAATGATGCGGCTTATTGTTTGCATTGCTACTTATTCAAACCAGATAGAGGGGGTCAAGGGGGTGGACATATATTCACTAAGACTGGCTTTAAGGATTGGAAGCACAAAAGTACATTGAAAGATCATGTCCGGCTCATTGATAGTGCTCATAATCAAGCTTTTGCAAAGTGTACCAATTTGATGAATCAAAAGCAAAGTATCTCCCATGTTATTTCTAGCCAAAGTAGTAGTCAACAAAAAAATTATAGGACAAGGTTGACTGCGGTGCTAGACTGTACTAGATTTCTTTTGATGCAAGGATTGTCATCTCGTGGTCATGATGAATCGAAAGAGTCTCTTAATAAAGAAAATCTGATTGAGCTACTAAATTGATATGCAACTCATTGTAAGAAAATTAATGAAGTACTATTTAGTAATGCTCCTAGAAATGACCAAATGACTTCACCAGCATCCATAAGGATTTGGTTAATTGTTGTGTTGTAGAGACGACAAGGTCTATGATCAATGAGATGGGCGATTCCTTGTTTTCAATTTTGGTTGATGAGTCTCGTGATAATTCTATAAAAGAACAAATAGCAGTAGTTTTGAGGTTTGTTGACAAAAGTGGACAAGTGAAGGAGCGTTTGTTGGGCATTTGCCACATCGCTGATACTTGTGCCCAATCACTCAAGGATGTCATTGATGCAATGTTTTCTACACATGGGTTGAGCATATCTAGTCTGAGAGGTCAAGGTTATGATGGAGCAAGCAATATGTCAGGTGAGTTTAATGGCTTAAAAGCTTTAATTTTAAGAGAGAACCCATATGCTATGTATATTCATTGCTTTGCTCACCAGCTTCAGTTGGCTGTTGTTTCTGTGGCACATAGGAATGTTATGCTTAGTGATTTATTTAACATGCTTGCTATTATTGTGAATTTGGTTGGTGCATCATGTAAATGTGTAGATGCTCTTCGAACAAGTTATCATATTGAAATTCTGGAGAGGCTTAATATTGAGGAACTTTCTGGTGGAACTGGTCAGTTTCAAGAAATGAGTTTGGCATGTCCAGGTGATACTAGATGGGGCTCACATCTAAAGACAATTACTCGCTTTATTAGTATGTTTAATGCAATCATAGATGTTCTTGAGAATATATCAGAAGATGGCATAAGTTTACAACAAAAATCAATGGCCATTAGACAGATGGACACTATGCAAGATTTTCAATTTGTGTTCAGTCTCCATTTTATGTTTGAAATTCTTGCAATTACAGACGATCTTTCACAAGCCTAACAGAAAAAGGAACAGGATATTCAGAATGCTATGAGATTATTGAAGTTGTGTAAGTACGCATTGCAGAACATGAGAGACAATGGTTGGGATACTTTATTGAGTAAGGTAATTCAGTTGTGTTGATAGACATATTTCAATGCCCAATATGAATGATATTGTAGTATCGAAAGGTCGACCTAGGCGTGCAAGTCAGCAGGTGACTTATTATCATTATTTTTATGTTGATTTGTTTTGTTATGTGATAGATTCAATCTTGCAAGAGTTGAATGATCGTTTTCCAGAAACAACTATTGAGCTTTTTACTTGCATTTTGTGTTTAAGTCCAAGAGATTCATTTGCAGCTTTTTATGTATGTAAATTGGTACGACTTGCTCAGTTATATCCTATGGATTTCAATAGTAAAGAGATTTTATTACTTAGACCTCAACTTGACAAGTTTCTTATGCTCGTGAGAATGGATGAAACTTTCTTCAACCTCAAAAGCATATCTTGTGTAGCTCAGAAGTTGGTTGAAACTAGAAGTTCTTGTTATTTTCCATTGGTTTATAGGCTGATCACATTAGTTTTGATATTACCTGTGGCAACTGCAAGTGTTGAAAGGGTGTTATCTGCTATGAATTTAATCAAGAATGATCTGCACAACAAAATGGGAGATGAATTGTTGAATGACAATTTGGTAGTTTACATGGAGAGAGATCTTTTTATGAAACTTGAGAATGAGACAATATTGCAACGTTTTCAAAATATGCGACCTCGTAGAATTCAATTGTCTAAGCTTGTAATTTCAGAGTAAGGTTGTATTGTATATTTTTTTTAGCATTTTGGGTTGTATTAAACTATATTTTCATATGTATCTATTTTCTAGATTTTAGTGCATTTACATATATATTGAATAATTTATAATATTATTTAATCTAATTTTAATAAACGATCGGCCGCCGACCGGACTGGGCTTTTACGATCGTCGATGGTCAATGGTCAAAGTCAACCTCCGCCCTAGCTGAATGTTGATGCTAGATTTGCCACTGCCCAACATGGTCCACGCGAGCTTAGGTCCATAGTGCACTAGTGGTACATATGGTCTATTATGGGCCCCACATGGATTTATTTCACGTCCTAGCTGTTCAAATTCAAGACGCTTAAGTTGACGAATATGCATGAGATAGCAGTGCATGCATGTTGCGTATTGATGAAGACACGGCAGCTTGAATGTTAAAAAAAAAAAAATCAATGAAAATGAAAATAAAGAAAAAAGCAAATCCATTTTTTTCCCCTTCTAATCCTTTGTTAAATGTTGTTTTGCGATGCACATGGGACCTGGCTCCAAGGTTTCCTTAATAACAAATATGAGAAAACAGCTTCACATTCCATCTATGGTTGTCGATTGATTAACTTAACGTGCATTTTCAATAGGGTAAATTTACTTGAGAAAAAAATGTTTCGTTGTCGTTATAGTATATTGCTCTTATACTAAATTTATTTTATTTACACAATTAAGCACCCTTGTTTCTATATATTGCAACCAATACATCCCATGAAAAAATTGACAATGAATTTATACATAAGATGAGGGGTTTAAATTATTTTAGTACATTTGAGTGTAACTGTGCAAGTGAAAAGGAAGAAAGAATTCTTTCCTTTAGACATATTGATGTCTTATCCACTCTATAAAATATATTTGTAGGTGTAAAAATACATGGATTTTTTTCAAAATTTTAAGTGTCATAGATATAGAGTTGGCCTTGATATTTTGGGAGCCTTATGTTAACTTCAAATATGGGGCACATATATTTTGAACCTTCTTTCAAAGAGTTTTAGTATAATTATGAAAAATCTAATATAGACAGTTAAGTCCCAAAGTTTGAATAGGAAAATACGAAATGTCAAATTTCAATATGTAATACAAAATATAAGTAAAATTTCTACAAACAAAATTACAATGCAATGTCATATGGGTTTATTCCTTTTTTTTTTTATCATTTTCTCACTGCAATTAATTTTAAACAAAATTGAATATACATTTGAGTTATTTATGTACAAAATTGGATAATGTTGAATGTGAGAGATAGTGTAACAAAATCTAATTTTATATTAATTCATAAGAAGTTAACATACAAATAAGAAGTATGAATACAGACGAAAAATTATTAAATTCTAAGTACTTTCAACAAAATCTAAAAAGGTTATTACCATGAGACTAAAGCAAAACAATAATAATAACAGCCTATGTACTCTGTGGTATATGTTTTGAAAATAAAGGAGAAAGAAGAAACATGTAAGGCTGTAGCACTGGCGATGAGACCATACCAATCTATCAAATTGAATCTTCAAAATTTTAATTCAAATGAAGATAATTTATTTCTGAATAATGTTATTTGTAATCGCTCACTATCGCATTTGGCCTACGTGACATACATATGGCGGTTAATGATTTGATGCATAAGACAAAAAAAAACTACCATATTAATGGATCAAATCACTGATCGCTACATATATGCAATGTACGGTGATTATGACAGTGAGCGACTGCAAATAATATTACTCTTTATTTCTTGTTGGGTTGCAAAAAATTATGATAGGTGAGTGGAATCTGAATAGACAAAAAGGTCTTTTGTTTGGTTAAGAAAAAAAAAGAAATGTTTGGAAAATAAAGTATCAAATTAGTCAGAAAGAGAGAGAGGGAAAGTAATATTTGTGATATATTTATGTGATAAATAAATGTACGTGATAAGTTTTATGTCATTTATATGTTTTTTTAAAAGATTTTCGTATTTTCAATTTTTATTAGTTTATTGTGTTTGCATGTGATGATTTTATTTTAAAGAATTTTATAAATATAATTTTCGTTTTTCGTCAACCAAACAATTAACCTTATATAATTTTGGGGCCTCACCAAAGCGGGTCCTTATGAGATTGTCTATCCTACCTATAGTCAGGGCCGACACTGTGATAGATATCTAGAAAAATGGACCTACTTTTTTTGTGTTGCAAAAGAAATTAGGACAAAATTTGTTAGAAAATGATAAACATTATTATCCACCCCCTTTTCCCAAGCTTTTTTCCTTCTAGTGGCATTTTCAGCATGTTCGGTGATGTGATTTGTTGTAGTTTAACTTTATAAGTTGACGAAGATTGTAATATGTTATTTGGTAGAGACAAAGTTGTGGTATGTTAAGTATTTTGAGCAACGAGACATAAACATCTAAACATATGCATTTGAAGACCAGTGTATTAACATTGAAAGGAGTTGTCGAGATGGTGTTTTTTATAGATTTTATTTTGAGCAATAAGATTATCTATTTGAATTTTCTTGTGAATTTTTGTGTTAATTTTGGCTTGATACCATTGAATAAGTTTTTAAAAATAGAATACACCATGTTATCGACAACAAAATTGGGAAGTCAGCGGTAGTCCGTAATTTTGACAACACGCTAGCCGTCGATGATTTCTAATGAAATGCATTTTCTGTCCGAAAAGTTTCCAACGGAGGGTTCAGCCTATGGATTTTCATACAGCCCAAATTTGTTGGTGTTTCCTTTTATCGACAGATTCTTCCTTAAACTAAAAGATTCCTCAATTTTTGAGTGATATTCATGTGCCATTTTTATTTAAAAAATGTAATTTAGCCACACTGATAGTATCACCTCAATCTATATGGTGTTAAGTAATAAACTAAGCCCATATTTGTCATCTTTTACTTTACATTCTTTTCCATTATTTTTCTATAGTGTTCATTTTTAACCACACATTATTCATTAAAATAATATTACATGAAATAAAAAATTTTCCTTATTTTTTAATCACACATTCTCCATCAATCATTATTCCATAATATATTTCTTTAAATTAATGGGGCTCAAACAAGGCCAAAATGAATGGTGAAATTAAATAATTCACTTATCATTTAATGCTACATTAGCGTCACATAGACCGTGATTATAATCTCAATCGAGCTAAATAGCATTATTCCATTTCCTAAGAAAATTTTGGTCTCAAAACTTGCTAGTAGCAACAATTTAATTGCTTAATTTTTATTGATTGTTGCTTCTTTAAGGACGAATTCTCGAAACAGACACTCATTAGAGACAATGTTAAACATTCTAGAATTAAATTAGTGTAGTGGATGAAACTGGATTCACACATACTATATATGTAATTTTGATACCGAATTTATGCATACTGTATATGCAACTTACCATATTTACAAGCAGCTCATTGTATTTGCGGCCTACTGTATTTGCAAGTAACTCACCGTATTTGCACCCTACCGTTTTTGTTGCTCACCGTATATGCACTTCACCGTATTTACACATTGGTTTTACCCATTTCATATCAATAGTGAGGTTAGATACTGTACATGTAACTAACAAAAACCGAAATTTCTTTTACCAAACTGAATGTTAGCAAAAAAAAAATTCAGATTTTTTTTTTCAATTTGATTTTATTTAAAGTATAAATAGAACGTCGAAATAATAAAACTGCAAATTATATGAAACACGAATAAATTACAGAAATATACGACAATGAAGATAAAATCGTAAGAAATAAATAAATAACGGATGAACTTTCAACTTAAGGTTTGTGCGAGCACAGTTTCCTTAAAACAGATTCGTCCCTTCACCTTAAGTGCTTGAGATTTAATCCAAACGTCTGTTTTCTAGGATATAACGGTAAATCAGTAGAATCTGTGCACTGTAGAAACTATTTTAGCGAATTGACTTAGTATTCGAACAATATCACAACCCAGACGTTTGACAGAAACTATATATGTGGACAGAACAATTCTGTGCAGTAGACGAAAAATGGTTTATACAGACAGAGAATTTTCGTGTATTTTCCTGTGAATGCAATGGGAAATGATTGCCAGATAAATAGGTTGTAATGGAGACATAAGTGGCCAGGAGTTACTTCATTAACTCGACAATGAATATTGGAGTTTCGGCTGTTTTAAAATTTTAAACAGTCAGTTGAAGAAAGCCAAAAAAAGCAAAACGTGGACACTCTAAATGGGTCAATTTTTGCTCTGTTCAGTCCGACATTCGTGTATGCAAGTCGTGCCCGCTCACAAGTTCAAGGCTCGATGTACTATTTCAGTCCTTGATTTGTACTCTCCTGCATGTGCACGTGGAGAGAGCCTCTATACTACACATGATTACATTCTTCCAAAATGTAACCATATATAAAGTGGTTCATACTTTCTTCATTTTCCTATGTGGAATATTCTATTTTCGCACATAAATCATCTTCCAATAGTCAAATTTGAGCTTCAATTTCTCATTCATCCATTCATTAATTTTGGCAAGTAAATATATGATTTTGATACTTTCACGGAGGAAAACACGAATCAACTTTGGTCTTCCAAATTAGACAAATGGGTCCCACTCAAATTTTATGCCAAAATCGGCCGCTAAACCCATTTTTTCCAATTATCACCCACATGAATGAAAATTGGGAGAGACACAAGATCGTAAAACACCAAACTTGGTGATACAGTTCAACGGTTGAAACCTGCATAGGATAGGTAGGTATTATACTTTGAACCTTTCCTTGTGAAAGTATATTTATTTTACTAGCTGACTAGTAGACACGTTGTCCTTGAACTATTCTGCCGTTTGTATAAAAGATAATATACTCCACACAGGATCCTTCCTAGCACAAATCAGTTCTCATTATTATGTTCGTTTTGGCCATGAATATACGCTTGGTTCTATGAGAGTTTCTATGATTTGAGCCCTACACAATTATCTTAGAAGCGGCTCCACTTCTCTCGACTTACGATGCATAAGAATCTTT